ATTCTGTGTTTGATTAACATTTTTGATAATATTTGATATGTTTAAAGGTTATTACTTGAGCCTTTATATCTAAGGTCCTAGGGCTATCCAGCCCATGAGGCTTGTCCAGCCTATTTTTGTTGTGTCCAGCCCTGGGGCTATCCAGCCCATGAGGCTTGTCCATGCAGTCCTGGGCTCTCCAGCCCATATCCAGCAGAAGCAGATGCAAAGATTTTGGCACTCTCTGCTGCTGTAGTAATCCACAGCTGCTAACTACTTGACAGCTGTACATTTAATTCTTTGCAGGGCTCTCTGGGTCTTCTTCACACTCAGGAGAGGCTTCTTGTACTTCTTCTTCTCCTTCAGAAGTAGGGCTTGGAGGAACCAGCACTTGGGAGTCTTCTGTCATCAGTAGCTTCCAGCCAGCCTGCAGCAGGTCTTCATTCGAAGTCTCCACTCCCTTCACATAAGTGATCTTCCTCCTTTTTGCTTCAGCTGCATTCATGGCACTGTGCCCTGGACTTTCACAGCTGAGAGCCAAAAAGAGCTCATCCAACCAAAAGCATGGGTCAAGCAGGGCTACACCCAGCCCAGCTAAGCAGTCTGTTGGCTCAGAGGGCTCTCCAGCCCATGCAGTCTTTGTTGTGGTGTGCCTTTTTTATCATCCTTCACTTCTACTAGTCTTCTGCCATGGCCATGTACCCTTCCAGGTACAAGTGAAACATGAGTCGAAACTTTTGGCACACTTTCAATGGCACCTTGTGCCCTGGAGTGCCATGTGTGCAGGAGGCAGCCATTTGGGCTATCCAGCCCATATAGCTTTCTGAGCCATAGGTCCAGCTGAGGCTGGGGTGCATGCTGGCCTGATCTCCTAAGTGGAGAATAAGGTGCGATTTTTGCACCAACGACCACAAATGCAAGCCATGCTCCATTGAATCTCTGGCTAACCAGGCATAGTGTGACATCATGTGTTCCACTCCTCTTTGGAAGTCTTTATGTTTGTGGGGGCCCCACTCTTTCCATGGACAGCTCAGAAGAGTGTAGAGCTGGGCTAACTCTTTGGCTGCTGCCTCTCTATGCTTCCCAGCCTTGTCCCCTTCATTGTGCTCCTTGGCCAACTCCACTGCCACAGGAGCAAACCACCTTATCTTTGCTGCTTTTTGGTGTTTCAAGCAAGGATATTCTTCATTGCTTTCAGCTATATCGCTCAGGCTCAAAGATCTTAGCCTTTTCTGGGCCTCAATCTGGAGCTTGTCATAGTGCCTGGTGATGTCTTTGTTCAGTTGTGTTAGCCTATCTTGTCCTGAGTAGGGCATGCAGGCTCAAATGAAATATGGGTTATCTTGAGGGCTGTCCAGCCCATTTTCAAGACGAGTTGGCAACCAATTGAAAGGATGCTGAGTCTCACCCTAGGATCTGTTTCTGCCAGGCAGCTTCTCCATGATGCTGTACAGCAAGGAGCCATGCAGGTATGCAGCGACTCCTAGGTCAACTGTGTGCAGCCAGTCGAGCTTGACAGAGTGAATGCTCACTGCTGGGGCTTTCCACAGAGGGTGGCCTGCAAACTTGGACTGGAGCTCATCTCTTGAGAGGATTGTTTTTCTCCAAGCAGCTGTAGGCCTGAAGTCTGTGTAGGAGTACTTGGAATTCTCTTTCTTCTGGTCAGCATTGCAGTATGGGCACACCATGTTGGATGAAGCCCAAGGAAACCCAAATTCTTGACAATACCACTCCAGATCTCCAGTGATGCTCCAGCATACTCCTTTTCTGAGCCTCTTTCCCCTGTTGGCCTCTACAGGCTGCCCTTGCAAATCTTTTTTAGGGCACACTCCAGTGAAAAGAGCTTGCCAGGACCAGGCAACAGTCTCCATCACTTTTTTGAAAGTTGACTTTGTCATAGCCAGCTTTGGCACAGCTGTGATCAGCAGTTGGCACTCAGACACAGACCTTCTGGAGAGCAAGCACCTGAAGCTAAGCACTTGTACACTGTCGACTTCTGTGAAGGGAGCTCCATCCCCATGCAAGACATATGGGATTGGAAGCTGGTTGGGGGTTGCATCCTGAATCATCTTTTCTAATTCTGGTGTCATTTGTGGACTATTCATTTGGCTCTTCCAAAAGACAGCGAGCTCTTCACCAGTGCAGGTAATAGCTTCCAATAAATTGTTTTCCTGGGCAGTCAGTACCCAAAGATGAGGCAGCATCAAAGCAGTTTCAATCTCTTTGTTCACTTGGTGCCCCTCCTCTTTCACCATCATGGAGCACCTCACATTCCATGGCTGGGGCGATGCCAAATTGGAAAAGTATTTCCTCATGAGGTCTCGATGTGCATTTCCAGGCTGGTGTCCCAAAGCACCTAGGGCCTGGAGCTCTTTCATCTCTGGGCTTTCCAGCCCACTCTTCACTGCTGCCATAGCCACCTCCTGAACCTCTATGGCTGACAATTTGCCCAGGGCGAATTTTCTCATCAGAAGCACCCATAAAGCACATGGCTCTGTCATGGGAGGCTTAAGAGCTGGAAACTTTGTGCCAAAATTCTTTAGTCATGTGAATCAGGGCAATCCAGCCCATACCCTTTCCTTGGGGCTATCCAGCCCATATTCTTTTGGTGGCTGTCCAGCCCATTTCTTTGGGGCTATCCAGCCCATATTCCTTTGGGTCTATCCAGACCATATTCTTTTGGACTGTCCAGCCCATACCCTTTCCTTGGGGCTGTCCAGCCCATACCCTTTCTTTGGAGCTATCCAGCCCATATTCTTTTGGTCTGTCCAGCCCATATCCTTTCTTTGGGGCTATCCAGTCCATTTCTTTGGGGCTGTCCAGCCCATATTCTTTTGGGGGCTGTCCAGCCCATTTTCTTTTGGGCTGTCCAGCCCATATCCTTTCCTTGACGCTGTCCAGCCCATATCATGTGCTGCTTTTGGGCTGTCCAGCCCACTTGTCTACAACCCATCAAGCACAGCAAATCTTTTTCCTTCACATTCCATTGTGTTGGTCCAGCTAAAGGCTGGACATTCCCATCCAGCTGAAGGCTGGACATTCCCATGCCAATTTTGGCTAAACTGTACAATTGCCCACCAGCGCCTCCTCATCTTCCATAACCATCTCAGCCATTTGCATGAGGTGGTCGAAGGTCTTCACCTGCTTGTGGTCTCTTCTTGTGCTTGCAAAAGCACTATGGATCAAGTGCACCAGCTCAAACATCTTCTCAGCTAGGTACTTGTCCATCTTGGTGCCATTTGCTTGGCACCAGCCAAGCCAAACTTCTAGGAAGTCGGACTGCCTCCAGGGGTTAGAGTAGCAGCTTGCCCCAAACCTTGTGCACACACTGTTGCACAGCAACCTGGCTGTGAAGTAGCCAATTGCTGTGTTGCCAGACATGTGCCACTGGGTGTGAAACTTCTTCACCCACTGCTTCCATCCCAACTGCTGGGCCTCATAGAGCTTGATGAGTGACAGGGAGATTTCCTCTTCCCAGACCATCAGCTCTTTCATCTCCAGCAGGGCAGGCAGGAACTTGGCCATGGAGGCTTATATAAAAGCTGGAAACTTTGGGCCAAAATTCTTTAGTCATGTGAATCAGTGCAATCCAGCCCATATCCTTTCCTTGGGTCTATCCAGCCCATATTCTTTTGGTGTGGGCTGTTCAGCCCAATATCCTTTCTTTGACCCACTATCCAGCCCATGTTCTTTTTGGGCTATCCAGCCCAGGGGCTATCCAGCCCATATTCTTTTGGGCTATCCAGCCCATGTTCTTTTTGGGCTATCCAGCCCAGGGGCTATCCAGCCCATATTCTATTGGGCTATCCAGCCCACAATGCTGCAACCAGCAACAGCAACTTTTTTGCAGCTCTAGCCTTTGAAGCGGCTGTCCAGCCATCAGGTGTCAGCCTTTAGAGCTTTGGACAACTGGCTTTTCAAAGCCTTGCACTCTTTGAGAGTGGAAAGTGCCTTTGTGAGGGCAGGCACCACCATGTCCTTTTTGACATTCTTCTTGGACATGAGTTTGGCCAGTTCACCCAAAGCCTCAGAAGCCTTTTTGCTGGCCAGCTTCACATTCTTCAGCAGGACTTTGTCACCATTCTGTTTGGTCAAGGCAAAGGCACCACCATCAAGTGCAGCCATGTCCTTGGAAATTTCTGTTTTGAATTTCATAATTTTCTCTTCAATCTCCCCAGCCTTTGTTTTCTCACCAATTTCACTCAATTGGGCCCACTTGTCACCCTTCACAGGCTTGTTGGTGTTTCTCTCTTCTTTTTTGATGCCCATTGCCTTGGCCAGGTCCTTGTCCAGCCCCTCTGTCTCAGAATCCCCATCTTCCACTTGTGCCCCAAGGGCAAAATCATCCTCATCTAGGTTTTCCAACATCAGCTGTTCAAAGGAGATCAAGTCCTTGGTGCTTGAAGCCCCTGTGGCTTCCCTTTGGGATTGTTTGGTCTTCTTCAGCTGTACTGCCTCCTTCTCTGACAGCTTTTGGAATTGGAAAAAACGACCATCTTCTGGGTTCCTTCTCCATCTCAGAGTGCCAGCTGTGAGCCTGGCTTTCATTTCCTCTGTGCCAAGCTCATCTTCCATTTTCTTCTTGCTGAGCCATTCCTTTTCTACTCCATGGTTCTTTTCTAAGCAGATCATGGCCAAGGAGGACTTGTAAATCTCAGAGCATTTGCCACCATCCAAACACCAAGAGCGAAGCAACTTCTTCTTTTTTGCAAGGCTACCAGTGCCAGTTGTTTCCTTCTTGTACTGCTCCTCTGCAGCAGTTGCCTTTCTACTGCCTTCAAATTTCTTCCAAAGGCATTGCTGCTGTTTCTCAGGTAGCTTGCCCAGTGCCTTCTCAAACTCTGAGTCTGTGAGATTCAGCTTGCCTGCTTCCTGGATGAACACTTGGTGATCCTCCAAAGCCTTTTTTGTCAGCTGCTTGTTCCTTTTGGACTTTTCTTCATCTTCCCCTTCCTCTTCTTTTGGGTCTTCTTCCTCTAGCTCTTCTTCCTCTGGCTCTTCTTCTTCTGGCTCATCTGTTGGCTCTTCTTCCTTTTTTGGTTTCTTCAGAATGCTGGCTGCTGGCTTGCGAACAGCAGATGGCCTTTTCATTGCCATCAACTAATGCAAAACTAGGCTTGAGCTACACAAACTCCTGCAAATACACAGTGGGTGTTAAAGGCTATCCAGCCCAAACTCAAAAGTATTGTAAAGGCTATCCAGCCTACAATGTGCAAAACAAAATTGAAATCAAAACTATTGCTAAAGGCTATCCAGCCCAAAATGTGCGATACAAAATTGAAATCAAAACTATTGCTAAAGGCTATCCAGCCCAAAATGTGCGACGCAAAATTGAAATCAAAACTATTGCTAAAGGCTATCCAGCCCAAAATGTGCGACGCAAAATTGAACTCAAAACTATTGGTAAATGCTTTCCAGCCCAAACACTTCTGATAAACACAATTTTGGATTATTTTCACAAATTTCATGTGATTTCATGGGATTTCATGTGATTTCATGGGATTTCATGTGATTTCATGGGATTTCATGGGATTTCATGGGGTTTCATGGGATTTCATGGGATTTCATGGCACTTCATGGGACTTCATGGGATATAATTGGACTTCATGGGATTTCATGTGATTTCATGTGATGTTTTATTGTTTTTTGAATATTATTGAGAAAAATTTTGAAATATCTCTTTTTAGTTTCATGGGCTTTCCAGCCCACCTCTTAAAACAACCATGTGTGTATTTCCCCCTGGGCTATGGGCTATCCAGCCAAACCACTTTACATATTCACTGGGCTGTCCAGCCTATAATTCTATGGGCCCTTCAGCCCAACTACTACACTTTCTTGGGCCCTCCAGCCCAAAGAATCTAAATTTTTACTTCTCTAAATTGTGAGTATTCCATGGGCTCTCCAGCCCAATCACTTCACTTTTTAATTGGTACTTCACTTTTTAATTGGCTCTCCAGCCAAAATACTTACAAATTATACAGAGGCTCTCCAGCCCAATGATTGAAAGCACAGTGATTTCCCAACTTCAATGGGCTATCCAGCCCAAACATTCTAAGTCTTTCATGGGCTCTCCAGCCCAGTTTTTTTTCATGGGCTCTCCAGCCCAAGAATTGTAAGTGTCTCACTGTTCATGGGCTCTCCAGCCCAATAATTGTAGTTTTCTCACTGTTCATGGGCTCTCCAGCCCAAGTCAACCCTATTTCATGGCCCAACCCCACACCATTTTGCACTTCCTCTTTTGAAAGTGTCTTGTGCAGTTATGTTCATAGGTCCAGGCTAATCCAGCCTTGTGAAAATTAAAGCCCTCATGGACTGGCTGAACTTCTCAAAAGCTTTCAAAAACAATGGTAGAGTGAAGCTTACTTCACTTATATAAAACACAAATGTCAAGTGTCTCAAACTATTATGAGTCATTTCACTCATAAAATTGGGCTTTCCAGCCCAGCCAGTCTTTTGCACCAGGCTTGCCCCTATTGAATTGGCTTTGGTCTCTCAAAGAACATACAAGTAGTGAAAGACAACAATCAACTGTACAAAGTGATGGAAAGCTCCAAATTAAAACACCACCAATTCTTCTGTGCCAGGGCTTGCCTATTTTATGGCCCACTCAAGCTCAGCAAGCAGCTCATACTCTTCAACATCTCTGACACTTCGAATGAAGTCACAGGCCCTGCCAAAGCCTCTGTAGGATTTGCATCCAACTCCTTGGATGAACAAATGACAAACACACAGCCTATCCAGCCAATATTACATGCAGGGTTTGCCAGCCTTTGAATTTTCTTTCAAACACAGAGGGCAATCCAGCCATTGTTTCAAGGACATATGCAAACAAGTTTCTCATGCACCCTCTGCAGCTAGCTGCCCTGAGGCAGCTCTTCTTGGTGACATAGCTGATGAATTTGCATTCTCTGCCTTAGATAATTGGAATTTGTTTAGGCTATCCAGCCTAACAAAAAATGGCTTTCCAGCAAACTCTACAGGCTGGCCAGCCTAACAAAAATGGTTTTCTAGCCAACTCTACAGGCTATCCAGCCTAACACAAATGGCCTTCCAGCCAACTCTACAGGCTGTCCAGCCTAACAAAAATGGCTCTCCAGCCAACTCTATAGGCTATCCAGCCTAACACTGATGCAGCCAGATGCAAGGGATCATCACCCAATCGAGCTCCAAGCGATACATCCTCATCCAGAACTCATCTGGTGCCCCCACGAAGTCTGGTAGGTCCTCTGACCTCCTGAAAGCATGATGAGCACACAGCACTGCAAGATACAACCAAGTGTTGGTTTTTCAATTTGACAAACAAATCAAAAACATATGTATAAATATCAACCAAACTACATCCAACACCAATATGATTCTTGCCACCCTTTTCCTCCATGCCATGATGTCCAGGCTTCAGCGCTGCCTCCTGCTGGTGCTTCTTCAGCATTTGCTGCTGCTGCTGCTGGTGTTTCCTCAGCTGTTCCCTTTCCACCTTCTCCTTTACCAGCACCCCCATCATGTGCATGTTCTCCTTTTCCACCACCAGCACCTTTCCCTGGTCCTTCTTCTTCAGCAGCATGTCCATCACCCTTTCCTCCTTCACCCTTTCCATCTTCACCCTTTCCACCTTCACCCTTTCCAGCTTCACCCTTGCCACCTTCACCCTTTCCACCCTTTCCACCTTTTGCAGGTGCCACCACTCCAGAGCGACCAGGGCCTTTGCCAGATCCTCCTGCTTCTTCACTTTGCCATGCTTGTGGGATCTGCATTTGAGCTACGAGGTGGTCACTCAAGCCCTCAGTGAGTCGCTCAAAGAAGTGCTCCTCTGAGACTCCTGCAGGCAGAAATTGCAAACACAAACCATTCACCTGTAGGGCTATCCAGCCCAAAGTGACTTCCTGCCCAAAGCTACCTCTACCCCTCTACCAAAGGAAATTGTAAGGGCTTTCCAGCCC